TCATTTTGACCCCACGGGGGTGAGATCTTGTGTGGAGCCCAAGATCGAGGGAGATTATCAGTGGTCTTGTATGTCTTCCATTTTCTAATAATTGCTCCCACAGTTGATTTCTTCACACCAAGCTGCTTACCTATTGCAGATTCAGTCTTCCCAGCCTGGTGCAGGTCTACAATTTTGTTTCTGGTGTCCTTTGACAGCTCTTTGGTCTGGGCCATAGTGGAGTTTGGAGTGTGACTGTTTGAGGTTGTGGACAGGTGTCTTTTATACTGATAACAAGTTCAAACGGGTGCCATTAATACAGTTACAGGAGGCTCTTAAAGAAGAAGTTACAGGTCTGTGAGAGCCAGAAATCTTGTTTGTTTGTAGGTGACCAAATACTTATTTTCCACCATTAGTGGCAAATAAATTCTTTAAAAATCAGACAATGTGATTTTCTGGATTTATTTTTCTCATTTTGTCTCTCATCGTTGAGGTATACCTAGGATGAAAATTACAGGCCTCTCTCATCTTTTTAAGTGGGAGAACTTGCACAATTGGTGGCTGACTAAATACTTTTTTGCCCCACTGTATATATTGGAAACACATCTGTGTATGAGCAGAAAGAAGGACTGGCTAACATCAGTTTACATCCAGTATTCAGTGCTGTGATGCTGCTCCTCCTGTTTCAGTACCTGACACGACAGAAGGCTCCTCTCCTGTCCAGCCAGATGTAGCGCAGTCCTTCGAACAGGTAGTAGCGCAGCAGCGTTTTCTGTCACACAATCATGGTTACTTTCAGTCTAGAAAACAGATTGCTCAGCAAATTATTCTGCACAATGTTCCCTGCTTCCTTACCTCCTCCTTTTGCAGCTGAACTGTATCTCTCCATTCATTGTCCTCAAGCCCGGCAAACGACCCCAAACTGAAAGGGACAAACCGGGTAATTAGAGCCAACACAGTTTTAACCGTTTTCTAAGATCTCTGCATAGCACTGGGATAATGACGTGTTGCTGACCTGCCTTCCTCCATCTCTTCTGTGAGCACATGTACCACATGCTGCCGGCCAAAACTATCCTGAGGGAAGAAACGACACAAATTCTTCTGTGATTGCTTGAAACAAGGCACTTCAAATACTTTGAATCTGAGTATAACTCAAAATACTACCATAAACACGGTCCTCTTTTCTTTCTTATACTAAGATTCACGCAAAGTGATCAAGATGTCATGAAACAGAAGCAACAAATGTAATAAAGTTGTAAATATGCTTACTTACACCACACCAGCTTTAAGAGCTGGATATTTGCAGATATGGCAGCTATGAACATAGGAATATGTTAATCCACCTTTCAACCCAATGAGTACATAAACAGATGACAAACAGCCTGGGTAATAAATACTCGAAATGTTCGAAATGTGTGAAGCAAGACTTTTAAAAACCTATTAGTTATACAGTTTTGTATTTATTTATACATTTCTAGTTTGGAAATGTTATTTGGAAATTAACCTTTTAGTGCACGTTTCATTAAAGAACATTAAAGGATAATGTGACATAAAGTGAAACAGAGATCAAAAGCAATTATTGCAAGAGAAATCCAGTTTTATAATAATTGGTTTTAAATCAAAGTAGGAATAAAAGTATTTTCTCACTCTGATTATCAGAATATCTGCCAGAGCCAGAGGGCAGGAGCAGCAGCGGGTGAGGACACCAAGCCTCGGGCGCCAGTGAAACACAAGCAGGAGGAGACCCAAGGACAGCAGGGCGGCCACGCGACACAACCACACCCGCCAGCGCACCCACTTATAGCCCTGCAGATCCTGGTGGGGCAGAGGAGTCAGACAGTCCATTCAGATTCAAACCAAGGTTAATTTCCATTTCAGTTTATATTTTCAGCACTGTCAAAAGCCATTTTGTGATAGGGGGTTTCAACACAGATACCTGAGCCAAACACGACAGAAAAAGTAGAAAAGCATTGATTTCTCCTTATCTGCTTATATAGCAAGTAATACAGACATATATACTATAGATACAGTTATATATCTAGAGGTGACATTGCAAGATTACACCCCACATCAAACAAGTGAAGCACACTAACCCTGGCAGTCTTTTAAAAAGCACTGCACCTTAACTTATATGTGTTCCTCCTTTGTGTTTTGATGGTATACAGTAGTAAAATGTGTCTAAATACATTTACTCTTTTTTTCCATTTCCTGCTACATTATATTTCTACTCCACTATATTGCAAAGGGTTATGTTCTACTTTTAAAGCTACAGCATTCATGTACTGGACAGAGATCTTTCAAACCTTATCCCAGGTGTTCAGTACTGAACTGATTCCAAATCCTCTGGCTGCCATATTTGGGGTTATAGGAAAAGAGATGCATTTAACTGCAGAACGGCGGGGATCTCTGTCCTTTGCTCTCCTCCTAGCTCGTTGAGCCATCCTGCTTAAGTGGAGGGACAGTGTCCCGTCCACTCACTCCCAGTGGTTGATGGACATTATGTCCTGCATGAAACTTAAAAAGATCAGATATTCACTTTTATATTCAAACAGGAAATGTCAGGAAGCCTGAGAACCTTTTTTTAGTGCACACTCTATAAAACGATCTGCTATTGGTATAGCCTATCTGCAGCATATGTATGTATGCATGTATGCAGTGGCGTTTTTATATGTACAAAAGTGGTGGGGCACAAAAAACTTAGATGTCTATAAGCTTCTGCAGTGCGGTTCATAGCTGGTGAGGCACTGACACTGGCTCTATATTTTGACGTAAATCGAAAATATAATATTATTTTCAAAAGCTTTTTTAGTCTGTTGCTTCGATTAACTTTTAACAGATATTTCAACAAAAGTATACCCGAAAAATGTAATTTTATCATTTAAATATTTAATTGTGCCTGCCAAAAGTTAGTAAGATCCCATTTTCAATAAAATGGTGGTCTTGAAGATGAAGTCCATTTGCCTATCCCTCTGGACAAAAATCTATTATTTTTTTGTAAAAGTCCTCCTTATCTTCTTAGTTTCAAAAGTCTATCGTAAATCCAATCGATAGATTTATGATTCCAAAATGATAAAAGTAGGGTAGACATGTAGATATTATCCGGCTGAACAAAACGTGCATTTATCTAACAGGTTCGTTTCTCACAGATCTTATTTGGAGCTATTTTCAAAAATCCTAAGGAGAAATCTCATTGCTTTTTTGTCGAGGGAAACAATGCGCAGCTTACTTCCGGGTTTTAGGACGCGTCACTGCACCTCTCTCATCTCCTCTTCACACACTCCACTTTTCGCAGCACACGTTCCTACAGCCAATCAGCTCTGAATTATGTGAGATGAAGTATTGGTGGGGATGGCAGCTCAGTGCCCCTATGGTCATTATTTTTTTGCCACACACATTAAATTGAAAAATACTCTGAGCATGCGCAGTTTAGTTTTTACAGTCACCGTTCACTTAGACAGTGAGAGGGAGGGCATGATCGGGTTTTGTCCCACATGGCTCTAAACAGCTCAATAGGCACACACTTTAGACACTAATTAGAAGAACACAGAATAAAACAGCAATATACAGACGCATCCGATGATTAAACATGATCTTCAAATATATTTTATATATTTTTTATAATCATTATTTGTAATACTTTCTGCTGACACTAGGTGGGGCTGTGCCCTAATGACCAGTCGCCACTGTATGTATGTATGTGTGTATGTATACAGTAGATTTGTATGAGTATAGGTATTTGCTGCAGGTATGTATATGTATTACACGCATATATATTAATCTAACAATGTTCCTGATGAATAATCGTGTGTATGAGGCTCACTGGCAGTGAATGTAGGGGATTACTTTAGTCCTTGTTATTGTTTGTTTGTGACAAACAAACAATAACAAGGACTAAAGTAATCCCCTACATTCACTGCCAGTGAGCCTCATACACACGATTATTCATCAGGAACATTGTTAGATTAATATNCACAAAGTTGAGAAAAAAATAAAAA